ACTTAAATAGGGCAATTCGCAGAGGCCCCCTATTGGCTCAACCCCGAGGGGGATGGCAGTCTGATCTGGTGGCCAGAACTAAGCCTAACCCGGTTCCAAAACCGGGGAGGTCACAGGGACCAAAACCCCTCTCCTGCCACCAGAACCCCCACCCCCTCCACATCAAACCATGACACTGAGTCATGCCAGATGACTACGAGGTCATTTGGGACTTCGCTTTGAATGCTCTGCATGGTTTCCCCTACTTACATTCATTGGTTACAGTCTCAGGTGAGTAAAGGATCCAACAACCGTCAACGATGGGGAGTGAGCAATGGTTACTTGGGACTCCTTGCCTTCCTTTCTGCTTTGATTTTCTAGAGGTAAATGCCCTAAACCAGAGAGTTTTCAGCTTTGGTGTAACCAACAGATGAGCGAACACTTTGCACACCTTCCTATTCCTTCCTGGTCTTATTTTCTCATTAACAAAGCAAAGCCGTGTCTCATTCCATTGTCTGATGACAGCATTTCGAAGCTATGAACTGAGGCATCAGCGCCTCCCTGAATTTGCAGAGTGCCTGAAACAGTAGCTCCATCAGCATGCTGCATGCAGGTGGCAAAGTAACATGGCTTCTTGTCCATCCCTGTATCACCAGAGAGCTGAGCGCTGCCAGGCTCTCCTTGACACTATTGTTTTTCCTACACGAAAAAAAAAGGTGAAGAGCTGACCTAAATTCAGTTACCTCTGCCCATTATCACGGGGCAAGATAGGCTTTAAGAAATCTCCTGCGTGCAAACTTGAGAGGGCGCAGGAAAGAGGTAACTGCCGGTCCCTTGTCCCCCATGTCAAGTGTAGCTGGATCAGGCTGGACTGTTCCCTCTGAGAAGCCGTAGCGATGCTGCAGATCAGAGCAATAGGCTGTCTCCGTGAAAGAAGTGGGAGGCACTCTGTGTCGGGGAGACAGATCAGAACCTGTCTTTAATAGCTCCCACCTCTGGGGAGGACGACTAGCGAGGAAGGAAGGATCTTGTGTCTTAACGCATACAGCCATGCTGTCAGTCATCCAAGGGAACAGATGCTGCCGCCTTGCAGTAACCCATCCGCTGCCTGGCACTGTTGTTTCCTTCACATGCCTTTTTCCCTCTAGCATATTTTATTTATTTATATCTTGTTGTGCAGTAGGATCTCTCACCCTCGTGCTTTCTCTCTGCGGGTGGGTGTCTCGCCGCCGGTCTGACTCAAAGCATCCGCTCCTCTGAGCGGGGTGGCTTTGAGGAAACCCAGGAGGGAGCAGCAGTCCTCCCACCTTCCCGGCTGGATCAATGGCCCAAACAAAGCATTCAAGGAGGCGGCTAGACAGGAGAGGGACTGCCGCCCTGCACCTCACTGCTGTCTGTCTCCAGCACAAGCTGCTCCTGGGAGATGAACGTGTTCAGGGCAGCCTGGACAAGCTCCATCCCGGCAGCTTGTCCAATGCCCTGTGTTGCACTCCTTACACGTGGTTATGACCCATCCTACGGAGCACGACATTTCCCTTACTGGTGCTCTGCCCCGGGAGGCTGGTCCTGACCGAACGGGCACTGACTGTGCTATAGGGTGTAACGCTGCATCGAGGCATCGGCGTGACAAAGGCAGGTCAGGCAGGTTAACGCTGCAACAAAAAAAAGTACAGGGGAGCATTGCTGCTGCCTTTAATGTTATTGACTGGGCAGCTGGAGGGAGCTGGAGACTTGAGGCAAAACAAAAGCAAGCGCGTTTGTGTTAGAAGGAGGGCATTGTAGGTGTTTTACTTCTTAAATTTACTTAATCCCCTGCAGGCGAATCAATGAGTAAGGGTAGAAGGACTTGCAGGCCAGCAAGGAGCACTAATGTCTTTTGCCAGGCCCAGTGCACCCCAACGTGTACTGCTAACATCCCTCCTGAGGGTCGCTCAGAGGATCGGGTGAAGTGCGCTGTCAGTTCCTGCTCCTCTGAGCTGGCCCCGTGCCGTGCCTTCGCTGGTGCCTCGGTTTACCTCCTTCCTAGGCATTTAGCTCTTGGCTGCCTGTCTGGAGACCTTGTTCATTAGCTGCCGTGGATGGCTCTGTGGGTTGTCCCCACCTGCTGAAACCTGTGCTCTAATTGCCTCTGCTGGGACGGGAGCCGGGTCTGCAGGGTGCAACGCGTCTGAAGTGGAGAGCTCAGACTCCTCGCCATCTCCTGCATCCCCAACACTGTGTTCTCATTCTGGGTCACAGTGCACAGAGATCACCTCAGCCCACCTCTTCATTAGGCTCTCAATTAAGAGCCAGTGAGGACTGATGGGTGCAAGCTTTCCCCTTGTAACACTTCAGGGAGCTGCTCCTCTCCCAGGCAGAGCAGAAGGACCAGAGGAGGGGAAGGCAGCACGCAGCAGCCACGCCGCAGTTCACAGCTGCTGGACTGGTTGTCCTCCTCCATTGGGCACCCTTCTGATGGACTCTACAGTGCTGGCAGCGTGGCCGGCACTGTGACATGCAGGCAAACGAGAGCAACAGCCACGTGCGAGGGGAAGCGAGTGCCGCAGCTGAGGGCAGCCGTGTCCGGCTGTAATCTCGTTCCCCTGCAGCTGTGATTAAGGTTGCTCCCGATATAGCACCAGGACGCAGCGCAAGGGCACGTTTTATAGGCCTGTTAATACCCAGTGCTGGGGAAAGCAGCGAGGCTCCAGCTGCTGTTGCAGCTCTTGCCTGTAAATAGCAGTGAAAGGAAAGGGAGGGGATTTCTGGAAAGAAATACTTTTCCTCACTCCTGTGGTTTCCCACCCCAGCCTTTGCTGGTCCCTGCTGCTAGGACCAGCTGTCGCAGATGGACTCAAGCCTTGAATTGTGGACCAGGACATCAAGGCAAGAGGGCTTTGCATCTGTGCCAGCCTCCTGTTTCCATCAGCTTGGGAGCAGGCAGACGTGCTGGGAGCGGAGACGGGAGCGACGTGAATCTGGCTCCCACCTCTGCAGCAACGTGTACCTCGTGACTGAGCCATGTCTGCTTGAGAGTGGGTGGCTTTGGAGGTCCAGGCTCTGATTCTTCTTTGCTCTCTGAAGCTGCGGGTTGCTTTTTGGAGGGATGGCAGCTTTGTGGGCTGGCAGTGGCTGCTGTTAGAGGAGGAGTCCTGTCCTCCTGTCTGCACTGCCCAAACAGCCTTCCCACCGCAGGCACTTGTCTTGCCAGCATCCGACCTGGGGACAAGTCATCCTTGTGCTGGCGTATGTGAGAGGACAGCTGGGTACGAGCTGGCAAAGACAATCGGTGACCTCCTGTATGACTTCTGTAGTTTAAATGTGGCTGGGAGCAGGGTGGAGTGAAAAAGAATTTGTTGTTTTGGAGTAGATATGTGCTACGTATAGCTTTAGACTGTCAACAGATGATAAAATGGAATGCAAAGAACTGCAGAAGCCTTTTCTTTTTAATTTCATTTATTTTCCAGGCTGGTTCTGTCTAAGCATGACTGTCTGACAATATAGCTGCAGATTCATAGCTTCACAGGCGTTAGGACCAGATGGACCCATTAGATCAGCCGTTCTGCTCACCCGTCCTACCTCACCAGCTAGGATGTCATGCAGCTCCCTGCCAAGAGCCCCGTAACTTCTGGTGTC